GTTGAAAAAAAAAAAAACCCAGTAAACTTAGTTGTGGTATTTATACTTAAATGTTTTTGTGTTTAACGATTTACAAAGAATTGTTTCTCAGAGGACGTCACTATTTATTTTTAAATAATCTTTGTCATTAACAATTTATTATGAAGCCTTCATATATTCCAAGGAAAAATGTGAATACCTTTGTATCATATTCAGATACATAAAAATAATCCTATCTAGCTCAATCTTAGTTTCTATTATTCTCACAATCAAAAAGGAAAACAAAAAATATAAACAATGACAAACATTAGTTTCAAAAAGTCCTGCATAATGTGATGGAATAGAAGTCTGTAACAATTTTTTTTTAACCTTATACCCTTTACAAGAGATTTTCAAGGTGATAAAACAGCTCACAGAAATTCATTAAAGGTAGTCAGCAGTATAGCATGGACTTACCGAGTATTACGGTTCTTATCTATTTACTTTTTAAAATGAAGCCTACCACTCCTAAAATCAAAGTGCAAGATTTTTATTAGACACTGATAAGAAGAGTTTGATATCTAGCAGTAGAAGCTGACAAGAAGCTGATTCTACAAGTCTTTTACATTTGTGGACCATAGTAACTAAAATTGATAATAAATACATTGAGGGTTTCTCCCCCATTTTTCTGATAACCCTGTTTACTTGAATTAAATCCTTCTTTCTTTAAAGATGTTTGCCATAGGGCACATGTGCTTTCCAGAGACAGACAGAGAGACATAGAGACAAGGAAGGTGAGAAATCACTCCCTCTGGGGGGATTGCCACTCTGCAATCCCTTCTCCTCCATTCTCCTCTCAGGATTTTGGGGAAACACACACACACGCCTGGTGTAATTATCAAACTGTCTGGTCCAGGATTCGAACTGCAGAGTCTGCCATGTGAGATCCAGCACCTTAACCACCATGCTGGCCCAATATTTTCTCTTTTTTTTTAAAGGTAATTACTAGATTGTTATCCTTCAATTAATGATGATTTACTTAATTTTCAATAAATACTAGCTTTCATCCTATTGTACTATACATACTCAATACTTTCAACAATTATTTGCTTTTAATATAGTCACAATCTTAACCTAGACATATCTTGAATCAAAAATTATTAACTTATACAAAATAATCATGATTCTGCACTATAGATATTGCCTTCTAGCGTCATCTAAATTTCTCTTGAAAAACACAGTTTTAGCATACCACTGATACAATTAAATACAATTGCAACTTACAGAACTAATATTGGTTGTTTTTGTGGTGCATTATAAAAGAAAAAAGAAAATGTGATGGGGAAAATATATTTCCAAAGGAAATGTTTTAATACAAGAGAAATTAAGAATACTGATGAGCCCCAGTGCAGTGGTACAAATGATAGCATGCTTGTATGTGAGTCTGGGGCCATACGGGAGGTGAGGGTTCAATTTCCAGATCAATCTAGACAATCCAGATGCACTAGAATGCTCCTATAATCTTAGCTAATGCGAAGGCTGGGGCAGAGAACTGAAACTGTGAGACTCTGTCAAAAATACCTCTCTCTCTCTGTCTGTCTCTCATTAAAAAAAGAACAAAAAATTTGCAAATACAGAATTTCATTTGCTATTAAACACCCACACTGATATATGAAGCGTAGGAAATTATAAATGCAACATTTAAAGTCATGTACAATCTTCATGCTTCTAGAAAATAATTCTTAGCTAAAGGTAGAAATGTTTAATTTTAGAATATAGAAAATTATTTTTTACATTATAAACATAATACAAAAAATTTTGGAAAATACAAAATAAGCAAGAACATAGAAAAGAAAAAGATCCACTGTACCACCAACTATTTCATGCATTATTAAAGTTTTGACGCATTTCTTTCCAGTTTTTTTTTTAAGAGATTTTTGCTATAGGGCACATGTGCTCACGGGAGAGAGAGAGAGACAGGGAGACAGAAAACGAGAAATAATTCCCCCCAAGGGGAATGACCATGCTGCAATCCCTTCTCTTCCATTCTCCTCTATGGATTTTGGGCACACGTGCCCAGCATAACTTTTAAGCTGTCAGGTCCAGGACTCAAACCACAGTTGACTACGTGGGAGTCCAGCAACATAACTGCTATGCCATCCGTTGGTCCCTCTTTCCAGTCTTTTAATACACACAGTTTAGGTTTTAATATATATTCAGCCTTCATACCTTGTATACAATTTGTATAAAAGCAGATACATTGTAAATACATAAATTTATCACTGGATAGTAGCAATGTCTTTGCACCAAACGATTTTATGTCTTCTACCAAATTTAGGCTGATAAGAATTATTTCACATCGTAATTATTGTAACAAAAATATATAATCTTTCATTTTTGCAGGAAAAAAAAACGTCTTATATAATTGAATTTCTCATTAATCTCTGTTTTTGCTATAGGGTGCATGTGCTCACTGGAGACAAGGAGAGAGAGAATGAGGGAAAGTGAGAAACCACCCCCCAAAGAGGGTGGCCACACCACAATCCCTTGTCCTGTTTCTTCTTGAGATTTTAGGCACACACATACAGGGTCTGGCATGAATTTTAAGCCACCAGGTCTGGGATTTGAAGTGCAGAATTGGCCATGTGGGATCCAACCACCTTAACCTTCATGCCAACTGCTGGCCCTAACCATAGGTTTTACATTTGAATCATATAATACATAAAAATGTATATGACTCTACAACTTTATATATCTATAGTTAATTAAATAAAACACTTTGGACGACTTACCTTTAGCTATTTTTTTTCCCTAGAAGTATCCTGGAATAAGTTCAGTTACTAAATTCTTTTTGTGACTGAGAGAAGTGATCTCAAAATTGCTAGTTATTTCCCCAAGGATTATGCTAAAGTGTTAGCAACTTAACATATTCTGGCTTTAGTAATTCATCACATTTCCTTGATTGGCACTGATCTCAGCAAGACAATAAGCATTTGGAAAACACTGATTATGTTTAATAAAAAGTGAATAGATATCAAAGAACATTCTGCTCTCTGTAATGATGCTTTATAGATTAAGTCTAAATATCACTGATTTTAAAAAATGAGATTTTTAAAAATAAAATTATTGCCTTCTAATGTGTTTTGTGACTGAAAAATTGCTCCAATATATATGGAGTACGCTGAATAACACTGCACTTCACTAAGATTCTGAGAGTCTGTTTGGTGGCAAATTTAGTCTAAGTTAAAACTTTTTAAGTTTAAAAATAAAAATAGAAAAATCATGGAATATTATTCTATAAAGAAGTTAAATTAAACCTCAGATAAATATGTTTTGGTATGTAGAACTATCATGAAAGAGACAAGTGGATCTGAACACAAATTGTCCCATAAAAAGTCATGAACAATAGAAGACAGGTGATGTGCCGTACACAACATCACTCATTCGGAAAAGCTGAGTTCTATTATCTCTCTGTCTTGTTGAGGCTATATGACTTTGGAATCTCCTGAGCTCTCAAAATAAACCTCTTATGGAATAAAGAAGGCCCTTTCCATTTCTTAACCATAACTACATTAGAAGGTAAGATAGGATTAAAAAAATCCTGTCTATTCATAAAGAAAATATTAATTACCAGCAAAAAATTCTTTCTGTGCATATTATGGACCAAAAGAGAAAAAGATTCAATTGAGAAAGAAAGTATCAATTTCAACTGGCTGAGCATTTTAACCTTCTGAAACATTTTCATGGTTATGATCTCATTTTAATTTCTGCCGTCATCCTATGAGGCAAAGTGTGTATTATTGTCTCTATTTATTTATTTATTTATCAGATAAAGAAACTGAGGGGAAAGGGGAGTAATACCTTGCTGTTGAGAGTCAAAAAAGGATTTCATGGATTAATCAGAATATATCAAACCTTAACTACCATTCCTTTCAATGGAGCTGATACGGCTAAAGGAATTAATAAGCAAATATAGCGGAATACAAGAAACGAAGGGAGAACATGTAGGAAACGAGGTCTCCTTGGTGGATTCTTTTTGCTAACTGATGAGGTTGTATAACTTAACCCACAAGTTCAAAGAGAACTGTGGCAATAAATTTGGAAATGTGCATAATTAATTGGAAAACTCAATTTCTGCAAAAATAACAAACAAACAAACAAATGAAAGAAAACCCAGAAAATGTACTCATCTAATTTGAAGGAACCAAAACAGATGACTTACCCTGTAAAAATGTATCATAAAGTGTGACATAAATGTACAAGATTGTTCCAAAAAACTAAGGTGTATTTATCTTCTTTTGGACTGACTTATAATCACATGGTTTTGCTATTCGTGCTGCTTTTTCAAGAAGCTTTTCTTTACCCTTTGGGGAACTAATGTTTTCCTCTATTTCATAAGAACATTTGCATACTTATATGAACTGTAAAACTGATCATTAAACAGGAAAAAGTTTACTTCACTATAAAAAAGACATCTGTTATGTCAAAGCTCCTTGTTACTGAAATGCAGTAAACGGAAGCCTTAGTGGTATTTACCACGAAGTGTATGCACAGCTACATGAATCAACTAACAAAAGGCAACGCTCCAGAGTGTAGTGAAATTTACTCCATGTAGGTTATGGTACTACTTTTTGGTTCAAAGACTGTACTTTTTAAAAAGTGGATACCTGTGGTCCATCTCTGGCTTCATAGAAGTCACCCACTCTTATTTTTGCACTGAAGCTGAAATTGTCCCTTGAGATATCCATTATTCCATTTCTGCTGAGATACTGAAAAAATCACATATTTTTCCACTTCAGGTTTTAATAATTACAACCCAGCTTTGATGTACAGCTAGCTTCACGACACTAATGCTTTGCATATTTTATCAAGGAGCTATGGATTTATATGAGGTCAATTTAGGTTAAGTACATTATTTCCACACAAGAGAATATTTTGTATCAAACAACTTTATCAGAGAAAGGAGTACACTTTTGTTTTTTTCTAACATTAGCATGCTTTAATAGGCACCAAATGTATGTTATTTGGTGAAAATTATATACCTTTATTACTTCAGGGTACTGTCTAAGTTTCTTTCCACATGGAGCATAATATGCTACTTCTCCTTGAAGGCGCCCTCCAAAGTTTCTTATTCTTGTCTCTCTCTGCCAGCTATTTATAACAGAAATGAGAGTTATGACATACTTCATTTTATTAAGAAAGCTTTTTAAAAATTAAAAAAAAATTAAAGGATGCATGCTTTTTAACATCTGAAGTATGAAAAAACAAACATAATGTTTAAAATGAAAATAAAGCATAAAACCAAATATACTTATTATAAACTTAGATTGTTAGTTAATTCAGTGAAAACATTAATCAAAGATTCAATTTATAAATATTAAACTCCATACATTTTTCAGAAATCATAAGTGGTATTATTTGAGTACTTAGACATTGTAATTACACATACCACTGTGTACTGATTTTTTATATCTGAGAATTTTAAATGAGAATAGCAAAGTAAACTTAAGTCTCTTCTTTTTGGGATCACATATGTCCAGTATGAAACTTGTCAGTTTCCATTAAACAATTTTAGTCAAACTCTACTCAAGTCTCTCAGTTTTTACCATAAGCGGCTTTTGCTGTCTGTTAATTCTATTGTCACAAAGACTTTGGACAGCTGTAACTATGTCCCCGTCCTTGCCATGGGATATGTATGCCCTTGGTTGTCTTCAGTCAGATTCTCACTTAGTTGGAGACCCCATCCCACTGTCATACCTGCACACAGCGTTTAGGCTGAATTTCTGTTTTCTGATAGGGCAACTTCTTTGCCTTTTGTTTTGGCTCTCCTGCTCTAATAAATACCATGCACTACAGCCCCATTTTTAAAAATTAAAAGTAGAGAACGAGTAATCAAGTATACATCAAACATGCATAGATACATGAGGGAAGAACACAGAGAAGAACCTTATTTTGCATACCCATATTCCAAAGGAATACGTAGCTCACGTTCGTCTGTTACTCGTCTTCTTTTGGAAGTGCCTTTAAGAAAATTAAAACAGTTAATATGAAAGATTAAATAGGTGGCACTTTTCGATGGTTTAGAAACTTTTAAAAAACATATTTGTATGATGGATTATTAGTCTGTTTCTGTAAATTATACATTATTTTCAGATGATTTTTAACAAAGCACAATGTATAAGGCAGAGGACTCCCTCCCCCCCCCTTTTTTTTTCATTTGGTCTGAATGAAGAATAACTAGCATGTCTCCCTAAAAAAAAAAACTGAATCCAAGGTATAAGTAAATAGTTTTCCTCTTACTTTGTTATTAAAGAAAGGGATAGAGAAGTAAGGAGGAAACAGATACAGGTTTTAGAAAACCTATTTTTAGTTGTTTTCTTTGAAACTATAAGTTTTTGATGTTGAAAATTTTCAACATCTGGCTCATACATTTAAAGACAATTTAATCTCTACATCCATATGCATCAACAGCCAAATATTTTTTAAAGGTAGGATCTACCTGTTGCTATCTCTTCTTGCATCAGCCACCCAGCTGAGACTAGAGTGTAGGCTACCAAGCTTAACTCTATTTTTTTAAGACAAGGTCTGCCTATGTGGCCTGGACAAGCCTCCTGCTCCAGTCTCCTGAGTCACTGGAATTACAGATGCACACCACTGTGGCTAGCATGCTAGTAGGTCTTTAAGTTAACCTAATGCACACACAGTTGAACTATATATCAAACACAAAGATCAAGTTTCACAAATACAAATAGATTTTCCCTAAACTAATAGGCTATCATATTAGTTTGTGACAAGTGAAAGTAAAATTAAAAACTGATAAGAGAGTGGAATAAGTGAAACAATTAAAGTTTTTTACTATAGACATCTTTATTTTCTTCGCTATTGAATGAGAATAGCTTTGAAGCAGTAGTTTTGGGATATTAAATGTAGCAACTTTTATTGAAGACTTCTGTATGTTTATAAAAAATCAAACAGAAAAACCAGATGTGGCACATTAATGTGATAAGAATCCTACCTAGTAATAGAAATGGCTATAAGTTGGGGAGATAGGCAATTGTATTCCAAGTAACCAAAAGAGCTTTTTATATAAAGTACAAAAAGTCCAGCTGTCAATCAAATTCTATATTTTAGAAGAACAAACTGAAAACAAAAGCAGGAAAAGATTCAAAGTCAAGAGCTGTCATCAATCAGATTCTTAACTGGAAGCACAGAAACAAACAAAACAGGTAGTGGGGTCATAGCTTTGGAAATAAATGCTGACCTTTCTTACTTAGCCAACCTAACATCTACCTATAACACTCAATTCCAATGAGATCATCTTCAGAGAACTATAGAAATTAAAATTCTTGCTATGGTTTGATTCTACTTTACCATAATAAAAATAAAGTGTAGGTACCAGAGTGTGGACTTGAAGTAAGTGTGGAGGAAGATGTGCCAAGAAAAGCAGGTGACTGGGATTCAGAACATAAGGCAGCAGGAGCAGAGCCTGGGGCTTTTGCTATGTGGAGGTTACGAGGTGTTGAGTGAGCTGTGAGACTGATGGAAGGGCTTTTGACAGAGGAAGTTGTTTTATTCAGTTTCATTGAAGTTTTCTCTCCTTCAGTATCACTATCTGATTCATCTTGGTCTTTATCATCATCATCTTCTTCTTCTGATCCTTCTGTATCTGATTCTGAATTACTATCTGATTCTGGGAAGTAAAACAAGCATTTGTATATTATAACTAGATAATTACCAATAATTTGCAGTTTGTATCTAACTGGAGTAATTTAGGAATCAGGGTCTGTGACTGAGAACTCAAATGAGTAACTTTCCCAAAGAGAAAATGTAGAAATTACTATCTTTTAAGCTATCTGAGTATAACATACGCAGGCTATAAAGCCTCAAAATTCTTTTAAAAGTATCTGTTTTACTCAATGCTTTAATCATGAAACACTTTTCTTCACATGATATGATTCCAATGTTAAATTCTGCCTAATTTCTTGAAAATCACTTTTTAACTTAATTGGAGAAACTTAAGTTGCAAGAGGAAATATAATTGATTATTCAAATTAATAGACTTCAATGGTTTAAGAAATATACAAAGTCCAGTATAAGGAAGAGATGACTGGAACCACCAGCATACTTTCAATTGTGCTTTGTTGTACAAGGAAACAACTTTGTAGGGGAGATTTTGGGGTTTTTTTTGGCTGTGGTCTTTTCTATTTAGGTGCAATTCTTCAGACCTCACAAAAAAAGTAGGCTTACAGAAATAACTACATAGGATAATTTAGTGGTTTAATAATTTAAGTTTGTTCTAGTTATGCAGTCCTAATTATAATACATCTACTCCTCGAAGTATTTAAAATCTGCTAATGGAAAACTTCATAGAGGACTGACAACTGGGCTGTATTCTAATGGTTCTCAGAACAACAGCTTTTGTGAAATTCTGTTCTGTGTAGTATTATTATCTGCCTACATTGAAGTTTATTATATAGTTTTTGAAAGTTATGAATACTGTTATAATCTATTATGCAAAGTTGTTTTCATGGGTATGTCAGGAAAAAATATATCAGAAGAGCTGTTCTTACCCTGAGCAAGTAGTTTACTTTAACTTACAGACAAAATGTGTAACTGACTATATTTTCCTATTAATACTAGCTGCTAGAAAGTTCACTGTTGAATTTGTCAATGACCAGTAACAAAGCCATAAATTTTTATAATATGTATTTTATACTTGTATTTAAAGTTTAAACTATCTTGTATTTTATGTTTTCAATTTTCTGTGGAACAAGGAGAAGTAAGGAAAAGAAAAACTCAAAGAAGAACATCCTCCATATATGCATTAAAACAAGAATCAAAATTAAGCAGGAAGTATCTCATATGTTATTAATTAGATACTGTGTTACTAATGGATATTCATATGGACTTAGGTTTCGGTACTTTCTGAATGACTATGACTACAATTTTATCTTTGTTCGAAATATTTAGTGACACATTTTAGCAAGAACAAGAGGTGAAAAAAGGGATCAATAAGTGATCCTGAATGAAATGAAAATTCAAACAAGTTGACAAAAATATTTGTTATTTCCACATCATTATATTCACTTTACAGTTATTATTTGTTTAATGTCAAATAAATAATAAGGTGTGAGTTTAACTTAGTATTTCCAGTATTAATTACTCCTGTATTTTACTAGTTCAATATGGAGAATGCACAAACCTTGTGAAATAGAGAATGACAATAATTGTAAGCTTTTAGTATAAGGAGCTCTTTAAAATATTTTGGTTTAATAGGATTTAGAGAAATACTTTAAATTTTAAAATAGAAAATAACCTGATTGGCTGTCATCGTCTTCATCATCATCATCATCTTCCTCGTCTTCTTCCTCATCATCTTCCTCTTCATCCTCATTTGAATCTTCAGAATCCTTACTACTGGGAATGTCTGAATCAGTTCCCCTGAACTGTTCCACTAAGGATTTTGCAGGATGGGAGTGCTGCTGCATTTTCACTGTGTTTACATTATTGCTCACTGCTTTTTCCTTCCCTTGACTCTGCAGTATGGGAGAGGCAGAGGGCACTGCAGGTGTCTGACTGCCAGGGGTTCTTCTCCCACTGGTACTCAAATTCACAGGTGAGGGAAAAGAAGTGCTACTTGGAGTAGCAATGCTGTCATTAATCTTACTTTGCATTTTAGTTTTGGTAGTAAGTGCTAGAGGAGCTTCTTGAATGACACTTTGAATGACTCCATTTGGTTGATGATTACCTAAAAGTGCATTTGTCAAGAATGGATTAGGGTGGTTGTTTTCTAACATTTGTTTTGGATGTGCTGGTGAACTAGAGGTTGCTTTTGGATTTGACAAAGCTGCAATAACCTTCTTCAGGCTCTTAGATGACTCTTGTTTCTTTAACTGTGATGGGAATGTCTGTTTATATTGTTCCTGTTGAAACATAAGTTTAAAAAAATGTAACATACATAGAAACATTGCTTTTATTTGCTTTCAAAATCTGAAAGCAGTTGCTTATAAGCAAATTTAAATGATGACATACAGATGCTGTAGAAAAAGTAACAACAATGACTACCTGACTGCTGAA